GGTAAAGGGAATGGCGGAATCACTGCCAGGCTTGAGGTGGGGTTGGGAGACCGTGGAGTGGGAAGGGACAGCCTGGGATTGAGGTGCAAGCACGGAGAAATGTCGAGGCAAAAGCTACCAGGAGCAGGGTCCAGAGCAGGAGCACCACGAGCTGCGCAGCAACGGGGCGGGCCGCCCGCAGGTCCAGAGCAGCAGCTGCCGCCCCACCTCGCGGCTGGCCTCGAGCAGCTTGAGCAGCACCCGCAGCACCTGGCGCCACGCGGTCAACCAGGGAGGGTCGGTGATGCTTCATGCTAACAAACGTGCGCACAGACCCAGCGGTGCCGCTGCTTTGCAGTTGCGCAAGCAGGAGCTGCAGGGCGCTCCAAACATGCGCGTCCCAGCGCTGCACCTTTGGCTGGCACCCCTGTGCATCTGCAATGGCTTCTGCCGGCGGCCCAGGCCCATCAAGCACGGCCTCGGGTAAAACGCATCAGATCACGTCAGATCACCTGGAAGTCCTTCTCCTCGAACTTGTCGATGTTTTGGCGCCAGAACAGGTCGCTGGTGTGGCTGGGGGTCCAGTCAAGCATGCCACTCATCACCTTTGCAAAACAGCGTTGGCGGCGGAGAGCAGCGTGTGTGTGGGGCAGGCACATGGGTGAGCGGGAGCGTACATGTACGTGCGCGATGGAGGATGCAGGACCGCCACAGGGGCTCTGAGCAAGTCGTGCCGGGGGCGCCAGCAGCCACAAATATGAGCTCGGCTCCGGCGGCGCCGGGCAGCAAGCAACCCAGACCTGCAAGATCTCGAGAAAAGCCCGTGATCCGTGCGATTCAGAGCGCTTGTTGAGACGAATCGGCCCCGTGAGTTAGATCACATCAGATCAGAACGGGTAAGATCAGATCGGCTCACCTCCTTCTTGTACTTGTCAAAGCTGCTCATGACCGTGACGCCCTTCTTGAGACCCTCTGACAGGTAATCAAGAATGGCGGGGATGTCCTCATCGCCCCAAGACTGCATAGAATTGGTTTGTCAAATAAAAAGCCGATGGGGGGCCGTCAGGCGGCGGCCGGCTGCAGAAAAAATGAAGTGGCAACGGGCAGCCAGCCGAGGCAGCTGGCGGGGCGGCTGGCGCGGCGAGGCGCGCGGGGAGCGGGGCCGTACAGGTTCGCTGGCGGTGCGGCAAGGGGCCAGGCGCGGAGCGCCGCGGCGGCTGGGCAGTGGGGTGGGGCTTTTCACCTGGAGGCCGCGCTGCGCCACGACCTTCTGCAGTCCAGCCTCCACCATGTCAGGAGCCAGGCCCTGATTTGTGATTTGGGGGCGAGGTGATGCAATCGTCGTACCAGGACAGCAGCAAACACACGGGGCGAGAGGGCGGGCACGGCATTGCGCACCGCCACGATAAGTCAGCAGCGCAGACTGTCTATGGTGGTGGTGCATCGCCACCCCTCTTGAATCGTGCCAGCAGCACCGCACTGCTGCGCAGGCATAGGTGCCGGACGACGGGCCGGTCCCCATCAGGTCAACCAGATCAGAGCCCAGATCACCAGGTCTGAGATCACCCACCAGGCTCTCGTCCTCCAGGAGGTTCCTGAGGGCAAGCAGCCCCACCCGCACCACCTTCTCCTTCTGGGCCCCCTTGACCACATCCACCAGGCCCTTCACGGCGCCTGTTGGGGGGCGCATACGTGCACGTGTGTGTGTGTGTGTGTGTGTGTGTGTGTGTGTGTGTGTTGGTGGGATGGGTGCGACTGCGCGTACATCAACATGCGTGGTTCAGACATTTATTGTTGTGTCTGCGATGTACAGACGGTGGAGCCTCGCGAGCAGTTGCTGCAACACTGAGCGCTATTGTGCACATCCTGGCACAGCGCATGCCCAGAACCGATGTGGGCCCCTCCCCCATTCCCCGCTCCGCTCGCGCACGTCATGCCTGTGGGAGGGGCAACCCACCTGATCCCGCCATGGCCTCGGCGGCCGGCTTGTGATAGGACAGCTGCCACAGGCAGAGGCAGATCTCATAGAGCAGCTGGCTGTTGGCCGGTGTGTTGCAGCTGCGCAGCAGCGGGCTCAGCAGCTGCACGCCGCCCCCGCGCGTGAAGAGAACCCGGGCCGACTTCTCCCGCAGCGCCGTCGCCAGCGCGGCGGCGGCGCAGGGCACGGACTTTGTGGGGTTGGTGGGGCGCCGCAGCTGGCCGCAGAGCCAGTCCACCAGCGCCGCGACGGCCTGGAGGAGGGCGGGCAGCGGCGCTCGTGACGTCGACTAACGAGGGGGCCGGTCGCACCAGCGGGGGAGCAGGGCTGACGCAGGGATGACGCATAAATGTGTCCATTGCAGCAGGTGCAATGAGGCCCGAAACCACGCAGTCAGAACGCACACTCACCACCTCGGAAGGCTCCGCCGCCACGCCGCCGCCGCCCTCGCTGCCGCGCGCCGCGCCGCCCGCAGATGGGGCGCCGAACGGGCGCGGCGGGCGCGCGGCGATGATCTGCGACAGCACGCGGCAGGCCTTGTCCTGGGTGAACCAGTCCTGGCGCTGCAGCAGCCTGCAGGATGCGAGGACAGGGAGGCGTGCGCGGCAGCGAGGGGTGAGGAGGTGGGGGCGGCTGGGCCCGCGAATCAGGCAGCGCCGGCTTGCAAACGCTAAAACTACCAGAATGCGGATGAGCATGCTTGCATACACTGCGCATGCAGCCAACCCACAGGCGCATGCTAGCATGCATACGTGCACACATCCACATGTAGCCGCGCGTGAGTGGGCACGCATGCACCCACGCCTCAGCCGCACCTTAGGAAGACCGTGTATGGGTCCGCCGAGTGGCCCTCTGGCAGCTGGTGGAAGAGCTGGGCGCGAGCCGGGTTGGCTACGGGTGGTCACCGGGAGAGGGTTGCGGAGGGATCAGGGGTGGGGCCGCGGGATCTTTTGAGAAACGGCCCAGAGGCGGCAACCTGCCAATGGCCGCGAGCCCAGGCCACACAGGAGCCCTGCACCCACAGTGACCCCACCTGCCAACTTCGGTAGTGACATCACGCCCCATCAATAGCACAGCCCCACAATCCCACAAACACCACTACACTCGCGTGGACTCAGGCGACCCCATGCTCGCGCCGCGTGGTGCGGTGCGGGGTGGGCGCGCGGGCGAGGTCGGGCAGCCGCCCACCTGCCAGCATCTGCGCCAGCAGCGCCAGAACGTACTGCACTGTCTCCTCCTTGGTCACGTTCCGCAGGACCGACAGAAATGCGTCCACATACATGGGACCGTTCTGCAATGTGTGTGTGTGTGTGTGTGTGTGTGTGTGTGTGTGAGTGTGTGTGCAAGCACGAGCTCGTGTGTGTTTCATGTGCGTGCATGCCAGCACGTGTTTGGCAGCACTGCCAACTGGCGCTGTCGCAGCGGGTGCACTGCGAACCTGTCGCAGCGGGTGCAGGGCAAAGGCGCCACATGCCCACCCCCACGTGCTACAAAGCAGCAGCAAACACGGTGTGCTTTTGTGCAAGTTGCTGCATGGGTCGCTGGCCGCGGCTGCGTCGTAATTTCAGCGCGAATGATGGAGACCTGGAAGCGCTGCAACAAGGGAGCGCTTGGGCCCGCATCATTCACAAGGGCGCACCTCGTCCAGCAGCGACGACTGCAGCTCCTCCGACCGTTTGTCGTAGCGCCGCAGCAGCTGCGGGGCGGGCGCGGCGGCGGCGGCGGAGCCCCAAGGAGTGGCGCGAGTGAGGGGGCCCGGCGCGGTGGGGATGGCCAAAGCTGCGCCGAATGTGCGGGCTGCCAGGGCGGCGCACGGGCTGGGGTCGATGCAGTGCCAAGCCAAGGCCGGCGCCGCGCACACGGCGCACCTGCACATCGCGGTCGCTGATCAAGCGGGCAGTCAGGTAAGTCTCCTACGTATACAAGGGCGTCGGCAACAGGGGGGAGCCAGCACGTTTGGAGCCAGGGTCGGGCATGTCGGCGCCCGAGCAGAGCCCTAGCGCGAGCGCGGCAGAGGCCTGCTGAGCGCTCCCCTGTGGAACTCCAGATGTCCCCTCCCGTGCCCCTTTCTCCTCGCACCCAGTGGATGTCGCGACTCAGAATATCCGCGAGGTCCTCGTCCAGGATCGGCGGCGGCGCGGCTGGCACGCGGTACTGAGCGCTGGGCGGCGCCATGGCTCGGCCGTTGCGCTACTTGATTGGGCGCCGCACGCTCTAAGCGGCGCCACTGCAAGGCCTGCAATCAGCTCTGTATGTACGACCCGGCTATTCCGCTGCTACAGGTTCAGTTGTCTGCCTCGAGGGCTTTGCCAAAGATCACGCTTGCGTGATGGTCGCTTGTCAGTTTGGTCGCTCGCAGTATTTAACAAGTGCAGCTGTTTCAAAACACTTTGTTGCGTACGCGGCTCGATCCAAAACTGCACCTTCTGCTCCTGTACATTACAAAGTTCCCGCTGCCCTGGCGGTGATATACAACAGGCCATGTTTTCAAAATCCTTGAGCATCTCTGACGTACACGTACTGCACATCATATGGTACCGCCTGCGGGGTGGCCGGTGCAACGTTACTGGGGCCGGGTGGTGGGGGTTGCGCTTATTCACAGCGTGTGCCTTGGGTGTGGCAACCCTGCCGCACGATCACTCACTCCACAAGCAAAGCTGTCAGTCTGTCTGAACAGCAGCTTGTGTGATGTTGACCTACATCAACAGTCAGGCAGGGCCGCATGGACCCTGCGGGCTGCAGGACCCCCGTCTGTGCCACTTTGACTAAAAGTTGACAGTCCGGGCAAGCCACGCCGGAGCAGGCCAGGCACTGCAACCGCCATTTGCGAAATAAAGTGGGGATGGGGAAGAATTCCAATCACCACAGATCGCGCCCTCGGGATGCGACAGCCTCGTCGGCTGGTACCTGTCAGGCTGCTGGCGCTCGGCCCAGGCCCAGCCACTGGCGGGCACTGCGCTGCGAGCACGGCATCTCAAGTTGTGAGGCCAGGGCCTGCCGCTCATAAGCAGCAATCCGGTGCCCCCCTTGAGCTTGTCTGAGAAGTGGGGTCGCACAGCTTCGCACATCCTTAATAACACTTGCCACATGCGGCCTTGGCCGGCGCGCACAGCACCTCTAAAGGATGCGAGGGGCACGTACTGGACCGCGTTGTGCGATACATGCTGGTATCCTGATTATCTCAATTGTGGCGCAAACAGGTGGCAGCAGGCGCCCTGCCGGCCACTGAGCTCTGTGCCCTGCATGTTTTACCCGGGGTGGTCCGCCACAGCCGCACGCACCGTCGTCTTCAGGGGCCTGGCACCTCCGCTACAACTGCGCCTGCGCCGCAGCCAGCCACGTGCCGCTAATCTACACATCGTGCGGCAGCGGCGCATTGTGCTCGCGAAACTGTCGATTCTGACACGACCTGAGGCATGATGGTGTTTGGGGGGCAAACTGGACTGGTGGCAGACCTTACATGCAGGCGAAGAGGGCTGGGAGGCGCCGTCACAGCGGTTTTTTGGACGATGCTCTTAATCTGCTCCAAACACTGCAGGACTGCCCGGCGCGTCAGCCAAGGTGGCGGCAGAAGGGTGTGACGAGCCCGTGCTGTGGAAGAAAACAGGGCGATGGTTGTCACGCGAGCCCTTGCTTGAGGCAGCCATCCTTGAGGCAGCGTGCTTCATTTTGGGGCTGCTTGCAGAGCTTCCCGGGTACCATGTGCCCTGATTCCCGGGTCGGGCTGTGGCTGGCCGCACAGGGTTATCTGTGAGACTCGTAATGAGTCGTATGTGGACAGGGTAGCATGTCAACCGCTGCAGCCGCGACAGCGCAGCCCGGGCCCGTGGATTGCTCAAAAAGATTAAAATCTGATGAGAACCGGGCGGCAGCAGGGTGCTTCTCCACAAACCAGCAAATCTGCATGTGTGGGGATTACTGGTGATCAGCATGCCGACCACGGGATTGCCCCCGATCACAGCCGCGCAGACGATGGCGACAATGCCACCGCATGTCTGGCTCGGCATCGCGGAAAGCCTTGGGGTTCAGTGACACAAGCTTGTGAGGGACAAGCGTGGCCCTCTGTGGCCCCTGCGATCCGTGAACGATTCGCCACACGCCGCCGATGAAGCGAAGTTCCCAGTGCTTGGGGCTCGCGAAAACGCCCTCGACGACGGAGCGCCGTACTCAGATATCATCAAGGTACGTGTATTTGGTGCATTCACGTCGTACCTGCGCAGATACAGTTGGATTCGGCCGCACCCGTCCCGCCCTGTCGAAAGCGGCGAGCCCGTAGAAACGCGTCATCACCAGTGACTTGGGACATTTGGAGTCTGTTAGAGCAGTATCAGGCCCGGGCTTCTCCCCGGGCCGCTTCCAAGGGGCGCCATGGGAGCGTGTGTTTCGACACCACAGGCCGACGCACAAGGGCCACGGGAGGATTTTAGTTTGCGGCGTTCAAGTGCCAGCGTGCGGGATGGCCCATACGGGCGGGCGCGTTCGCAGCGGCCGGGCGCGGCGGAGGAGCTGCGGGCACCGTCGGCAGCAGTGATGCAGCTCGATTTGATCAGCAAGGTGCGCAAAGAGCATGTTGAGAGCATCCACGCCATCATGGAAAGGGCGATGCGCTTGCTGCTGCGTCCTCACCTGGCAGCACCAGCACCATCCGGGCTGGCCGCCGTGCGCCCGGTCACCCGCAACTCTGCGCGCCGGTCCGCAGTGAAGATCTTCTGCGTGCTGCGCCGCCGACCACGACCCCCCCGCTGCACGCCGCAGGTCCACGCGCTGCAGTCCCAGCTGTCCCTTCTCAGCAGCCACCCGCTGCTGGCGCTGCCGGAAGCTGCCGAGCTCCTGAGCGAGTACCTTTCCGTCGACCTCGTCGGGTGCGCGCTCGGCACCAGCCGGCGCGAACCACATTTTCACGGCCCCACGCGCGGGGCAAGCACCCAGCTGGCGTACACCACGCTTTGCAAGCGCGACAGCGCGTGCGGCGGGGTGCCGTCAGCTGTGGAATTTTCTAGAGCCGAAGGGCGTGGGGTGGCAGGCACTCCCGTGCTCGATGCCAGCATGCGTTCAGGGCCACGGACCACAGCGTTGAGCCCACTCGACAGGCCGTCTCTGCCCCTCACGTGCACCCGCCCCCGGCGCGACACCCCAGGATCTATGCGTACGCCCACGAGAGGCCGGGCGCCGCCGCGCTGATGGCGGCGCACGGCCGCGGCGCCGGCTCGCTCGAGCGGACGGTCGTCGTGAGGGGGCCCGAGTGGGCGGCCGTGCGGCTGCAGGCACGGGGCGGGGCGGCGGAGGCGGGCTATATTGTCGAGGGAGACTTGCAGCAGCAGGAGCAGCAGCAGCAGCAGCAGCAGCAGCAGCAGCAGCAGCAGCAGCAGCAGGTGAGTCCCGCTTGGCAACGCGTCCTTCGGGTGACGCCTCAGGGCACTCTGCTGATTGCGCAGGCTATGCTCGAGCCGCTAGGGATGAGCGGCGCGTGCCTCCTCCCAACTTTTTCTCCTCTCTGCACACGTGCTTGAACTTGGCTCAACGCTCACACGGTTTGCTGCCCGCCGCGCACTCCAGGGGCACGCCGGCGTGCCTGCCGACTTTTTGCTGCTCTATGCTGAGGCCGGCCTGCGCAGCGCCGCTGCCATCGCGATCGGCCCGCCGGGCGGCGCGCCGCTCGGGGCGCTGCTGCTGGCGTCGCAGCAGCCGGGTGCCTTTGACAATGAATGGTGCGCAACCCTGCATGAGCAGCGGCAGCCGCGCCGACGCCTGGCCTGGCCTGCGTTGCCCGCTCGCTCCCGCAGCGGGCGCTCGCTCGCGCCATGCCGTCCCCATACCGGGCCCATGCCCTTGCTCTCTGCACCCAGTCCACTCCTCCAAGCCGCAGCCGCCGCCGCCGCCGCTGCCACCTTTATTCCCACTACAGGGCGTCCCTTTGGCTGAGCGCCGCCGCGACCGGCCTGCTGCAGCACGTGCGGCCGCCGCAGGTGGCGCTCGCCGCGGAGATGCTGACCATGATTGACGAGGTGCCAGACCCAGTGGGCGCAATTAGCGCGCTGCTGCAGGTGCGTCGGGCCGCGGTTCTGCGCTGGTGGGGAAGGGGAGTGCAGGCGGAGTGGCGATAACGTGGTTGGACAGCGTGCCATGAAGGAGCGGCGGTCAGTCCAGCTTCTCTGGCATGCTTGTTCGTGCGGGCGCGCGCTTGCACTTGTGCTTGTGGGCACGTATACGCGCGTGGGTATGCATGTCTCTTGGTGTTTGCATTGCGCTTGGGTGCAGACCACGCACCTTCCGACCCCTCATCCCTCCGCACCCGCACACACGGGCCGGCGACGTCAGAGCGGCACCCGCTTCATGTGGCGCGCTACCAACGTGACAATGGGCGTGCGCCTGGCGCTGCTGAAGGACGGCGGCGACGGCGCCCTCATCTTCGAGTCCGCGCGCGCTGCCAACGCACGCGACGACCCGCGGCAGCTGCTCGTGAGCGCGGCGTCGGCGCCGCCGTCCGACCCCGTCGCTGACGTCACCGTACGGGAGGTTCCGCTGCACAACACGCTTCTGGCCAGCGTGGTGGGCCCCCGTCGCCGCCACTGCTGCTGCTGCCGCCGCCGCTGCTGCCGCTGCTGCCGCCGCCGCCGCCGCTGCTGCTGCTGCTGCTGCTGCTGCTGCTGCTGCTGCTGCTGCTGCTTTTTTGCTTGTGATGCGGGCTTTCTGAACTATCGCAGCGCCTCCAACGGCCATAGCATGGGAGGCGCATGAGCAATGCGCGCCAGCTGGCTTGAGGCTTGACAGAGAGCACTTGGGCCATGAACACGACTTGCCACGTGATTCGACACTGCTGACGCACAATAACGCTCGCTTACCTACCACCATTGCTTGTTTCATGACCAATCGCAGTTTTCTATGAGGAAGGCTCGGTTTGTGAAGGACTGCGCCTCGTACATGCAGAACTGCCCCACCCCTGCGCGCGACGTGTTCACGCACGCGTCACACATGGTGTCGTCGCTGGTGGTGGTGCCGCTGCTGGTGGACGAGCGGGCGCTGGGGGCGCTCTACTTTACGCAGGACGCGCCCTGCGACTTTTCAAATATACAGGAAGCTCTTCTGGTGCGCTGCCATGTTCCCCTCCCCCCCTTTTCGACCCAGACGCCTGTTCGGGACCCGCAGTGGTGACCAGGAGTGCGCGCCCCCTGGTGCCACCAGGCGCTGTTGGGGCAGGCGCGCGCTCTCTGAACGTCCCCTCAAGCAATGCGCCTTGCCGTGTCTCCCGTCCTCGCCCAGATCTTGCTGACCCCCACCCCTGAAACACACACTGGCGATTGTACACACACACACACACACACACACACACACACACACTTACTCACAAACACACACACACACAAATGGCCTGCATCAGGGCTTTGTGCACGCGGTGACGCTGACGCTGCACAACAAGCTTGCGGGGCAGATGGACGTCCTCTCAGGGATGGTGGAGGAGGTGAGCAGGGCTCAGTTGGCCGCGCCCGCCCCATTCAAGTTGGGGCTGCGACCCTCCCCTCGCATCGCGGACCGCGCCCGTGGCATTTTTGAGGGAGGAGCACTTTATGGGTACTTGCGCCCCACCCCAGCCGTCTGGTGTGGAGGCTTCGCTGCATCTGTCGTCCGCAAGGGCGTTGTCCAACTTGCCGGCAACCCACCCACTTGTGTTCACCCACTCTGACAGGCCAACAAGGGCAGCAAGTCCTTCGAGCTCCTGTCCGACCACGGGACCGCCCACGTCATCCGCCAGCTGGACACGTCATCGTCAGAGTCCGATGACGACGACTCTGAGCTCCACCCGCCCCACGACGGCGCGTCGACGGGCAGCGCCCCGCCGCCGCCGGCGTCCAACGGGCGGCTGTCCAAGGTTAGCAGCCGGCGGCTCTGCACCGAGGCAATGCTCAAGGTGCTTCAGCAGGAGATCCGGAAGGGGAAGAGGCGGAGCGTCGAGCTCAGCTTTGTCGGGGACCATCTGGTCATCGGCGCTGTCATTGGGCGCGGCGGTGAGTCGTACCGACCAGTCCCATGTGTGGACGCCTGACTGCCCATCGTTGCGCTGCACGGGATCTGGTGGTCTGCAGCGCATCTCACCTTTGTTGGCCAAGTCTGGTTACGGTTCAGTTGGTTGTCTGCGGTCCCTCTCGTGTGTTTGCGCCGGGTGCATCCTTTACACCAATGCTTTGGCGCAACTCACCCGCACCTGCATTCTGAATCGCCTGTCTATCTGCACATCTGCGCAGGGTACGGCCACGTGTACCGCGGCAGCTGGCACAAGCGCCCCGCGGCCATCAAGGTCATGAACACGCGCAACAGCGACAGCGACGCGGTGTCTGACGCGATGGAGATGGCGGTGCTGTCCAGTGTGCAGCACCCCAACATCGTCCAGGTCTACTCCTGCCTCACAGACATGGTCGAGGCGCCCGCGGGTGCGCCTCCGCCGCACGTGCGATGCGCTGCATCCGCACACGCCCGCCCATGCACACGCATGGCCTCTTGCACCTCCAATGCATGCTTGTGCATCATCATGATGTCTGTTGCCGCAGCCTGCTGCCGCTTACCAATTGTCGTCCCTAGCACCTGGTGTCTGGTGGAGCTCTCACCACCGTTGCTGTGCCCCCCCTCCTCCTCGCCGCTCGCCCCAGCTGGCGTAGAGAGCAGCTCCCAGAGTTTCAGCAGCGGCGCGAGCGCGAGCGCCGGCCTGGGCCAGCGCGGGCTGCAGTACAGGCGCATGCTGCCGGAGGATGACGACGGCCCCACTTACTCGATCATAGTCATGGAGTACTGTGACAGGTGATGACTCACCATGAGTGATTGGGCTCGGTCGTTGCATGCCTGCAAGCATACACGCCCATGCACCCGCCAGGAAATGCATATGCTAGATGATTAAGCATGCAAACGGCGCAGCTGCACATCTATGCACAAGCGTCGCATGCAACACCTGCATGCTCACACTTACAAACACACACGTACACACGCACGTACACCATCACCAGCTCACACGCAAAGCGCACAACCCCTCACTCTATCGCCCCGCTCCCCGGTGCTGCAGGGGCACGCTGGGCGACGCGGTGCGGCGGGCGAGGCTGTTCCACCAGCCGCTGGAGGACGGCTCCATCGGTGTCGACCTCGCGTCAGTCATAGACGTGAGCATCCCCCTCCCTGCTGCATGCATGCCAGCCTTGCGTGCCGCCGTGCGAGCCGGCCCCGCTCATGGTATCCGGGCCGGACTGCGCTTTGTCATCTTGCTGCAACCTCCTGCGGCTGTGGTGCGCGGAGCAGCTGGGCCAGGCGCGATGGCACCCCAGCAACTCAGCCCCAGCAGCCTGTGAGATCGCCTGAACCCGAGGGGTCGATGTGATCTGTCGTGATCTGGTCCAATGTTTCATGATCTTCGCCCCATGATCTTCGGCCCGCACAGATCCTGATTGACGTGGCCAACAGCCTGGAGTACCTCCACGGGATCTCATTGCTGCACGGCGACGTCAAGCTCGACAACGTGCTGCTCAAGACTGACCCCCTGCGTCCGTTGGGGTTTGTGCCCAAGGTGCGGCCCCCCGCGCTGCCCCGCCTTAGCCCCGAGGAGCCCACGGGCCGCCGCACAGGCGCTCGCCCGCGGGGTCCCCATCGCCGCCGCGGGGCCAGACCCTTTCATGTGGCCTTGCCCCCCCCCCCCCCCCC